TGATTTATGATTGTTTTGTCTATCCACTGTTCCTTTCTTTCTCTCTTATTTGTCTTTATTATGGTTTGGTGGTTTTCTGTAGTGGTAACATTTTAGTCTTTTCCATGTGTGTGTGTTTGCTCTACCAGTGGGTTTTGTATTTTCACGTGTTTTCATGATGATAGATATTGTACTTTTGCTTCTCAGTGGACTCCCTTAAGCATTTCTTTTAGGGCCAGTCTAGTGGTAATGAATTCCCTCAGCTTTTGTATGTCTGGGAAAGACTTTGTTTTTCCTTTGTTTTTGAAGGATAACTTTGCTGGGTATAGAATCCTTGGATGACAACGTTTTTGTTGTTGTTTTGTTTTCTTTCAGTCCTTTGAATGTATCATCCCGTTCTCTCCTGGCCTATAAGATTTCTGTGGAGAAATTAACTGTTAGTCTGACAGGGGTTCCTTTATAGGTGACTACATGCTTTTCTCTTGCTAATTTTAGATTCTTTCTTTGTCTTTGATGTTTGACAATTTGACTGTAATGTGCTGTGGAGAAGTCCTTTGTTGAATTGTATCTATTTGGAGAACTCTGGGCTTCCTGTATCTGGATGTCTAAATCTCTTGCTAGACTTGGGGAGTTTCATTATTGTTTCATTAAATAGGTCTTCTTTTTCTTTTCTTTTTTTTTTAAGGCAGGATCTGGCTCTGTTGCTAAGGCTGAAGTACAGTGGCACAATTTCAGCTCACTGCAACCTCTGCCTCCAGGGCTCAGACGATCCTCCTGCCTTAGCCTCCTGAGTAGCTGGGATTACAGGAGCATGCCACGACACGCAGCTAATTTTTGTATTTTTAGTAGAGATGGGATTTTGCCATGTTGCCCAGGCTGGCCTTGAACTCATGAGCTCAAGCAGTCTTCCCTCCTCGGCCTCCCAAAGTGCTGTGATTAGAGGCATGAGCCACTGCATCTGGCCTTGTTTCATTTAATAGGCTTTCTAACACTCATTTTCTCTTTGCCTTCTTGCTTTATGGTATCCCATATGTCACATAGGCTTTTTGCATTCTTTTTTCTTTATTTTTATCTGACTAGGTTATTTCAAAAGACCTGTCTTCAAATTCTGAGATTCTTCCTTCTGCTTGATTTAGTCTATTGTTGAAGCTTTCAAGTGTATTTTATTTTATGAATTCTTCAGATCCAGAATCTGTTTGGTTCTTTTTTATTATCTCTATCTCTTTGGTGAACTTCTCTCATTCATACCCTGAATTGTTTTCTAATTTGGGTATTGTTTTTCTGTATCCTCTCATGGCTGGAGTGCAATGGCGTGATCTTGGTTCACTGCAACCTCCATCTCCCAGGTTCAAGCGATTCTCCTGCCTCCGCCTCCCAAGTAGCTGGGATTGCAGGCATGCACCACCACGCCTGGCTAATTTTGTATTTTTAGTTGGTCAGGTTGGTCTCGAACTCTTGACCTCAGGTGATCTGCTTGCCTCAGCCTTCCAAAGTGCTGAGATTACAGGCATGAGCCACTGCTCCCGGCCTCTGAATTTACTTTCATAGGGGAGGAAAAAGTTCTCCCCTATGAAAGTAAGGTGTTTCTATGATGTTCGTTAGGTAGAGTGCTTTGGCTTTGATTCTGGGTATGTACATTAGTGTAGTCTCCATATGATTTATTCTGCTGGAACCAGTGTCAGTAGTATCTGTGGCTTCCCCAGCAGCTTAGGATATGGTTGTTAGTGGAGGTTGTGGTGAAGTTTTGCTGGGGACTAGGATACCAGATGGACCAACCTTCGGGCCCCAGTGGTGACAGAGGTGGGTTGGACATATCTGTCCCTGGGTCCCAAGGCAGCATACACTGGCACTGGTGTTAGTGTGTCCAGGCAGGCTGGTTCTTTGGCCTCCAGGTGTCTTGCTTGGGTGCTAGAAATGGTAGCAGTTAACCAGGCAGGTAGGCAGATTGGTGTGGGTGTTGGCAGGACAACACTCTGGGTCCCAAATACCTGTGCTGGTGTTGGCAGTGGTTGCAATGGACTGGGCAGGCCAGTCCCCAGGCCTGTAGCTGGTACATGAGGGTGGATGCCAACTATGATGGTGGCAGCAGAATGGGTAGTCCCAACCTCAGGCCTCTGGGAGGAATGCTGTTGTGTCAGTGGTGATGGACTGAACTGGGCTGGGCAATCACCAGGCCCCAAGTGGCACGCTCAAGTACTGCACTGGTAGAGAGCAGACCTGTGCAGACGTGTTCTTTGACTCTGGTGGTGCATGCAGTATCTGGCTATAAAAGGCAGCAGTGAAGCAATCCCCAGGCTGCTGATGGAAGGCTCAGGTGAAGGCAGCAGTGACTACACTGCTGTCCACTACCGCGGAGGATGGGATTGCTTTCGGTGGGAGCAACCATAGGCAGCCAGCTGGGGCAGGGGCATGCTTTGCTCATGCTTTGGCCCCAGCAGCAGCAGTTTATAGCAGCAATTAGCTGCGAACAGTGGAGTTTGTCCTTGAGGCACATAAACATGTGTGAGTGCCCCTCTGCTGGCCGGGGATCGGGGGAGGGGTGCTGCCAGTGGCTCCTACCTTGACCCTGGCAGCAGCAGCAGCAGCAGTGGTGGCTGCAGGCAGGGGCTCCAGAGACATGGAGATGCAGGGGCTGTTGGGCCCTAGGGCAGGATACAGTCTGATGGGGGCTGGGCCCTCACTGTGGCACTGTGCTGCAGCCACTAGGGCTCAGGGGTGTGTGAGACTCTGCGTAAGATCCCTCTCTGGAGAAATGCCATTGCACAGTCTACAGGCAGCTCTCAATGTTAGTCTCAGGGCCTGTGATAGTTGAGGGGCTGTCCCATGGCTAGGCTGCAGGAGTCTGCAGTGGAAATATGGACCACTTATCCTTTCCCCACACTGGGGAGCTTCTCCAGGCTCCCAACCGTTGTCAGCCAAGAAGGATGTCTTATTTCCCTCTCCTTCCTTGCTTTAAATGTTTTCTGTCACTACTCTGTTGAATTCCAGTGTTCTCTCTTAAATGATCAATTCAAAATGTAGCTTGTCTACTCACTACTTTTGTTATTTTTTGTGAAGGAGATGAGTGCCAGATGCATCTAGTCGGCCATCTTGAAGCCCCTCCTCTCTTCAAAACTTGGTAGTTATTTTTTCAATCCTGCCTTTGGCATATACACGTGAGAAACGCCAGCGAGTTTACTCTGCAGTTTGTAATTGATTCTGATGGTTTGGGGTTGCATTTACTAAAGGGATTATCAAATGAATTCCCTGCTGTGGGAGACTGAAGTATTTATTCATACAATCAACACAATTAGATTCTTATTGTCTTAGCTCAGATGCCATAACAAAATACCACAAACTTAAACAACAGACATTTATTTCTCGCAGTTCTGGAGGCTGCGAAATTCAAGATCAAAGGTGCTAGAAGATTCAGTATTTGGTGAGAACTCTCTTCCTGGCCTGCAGTCGCCACCTTCTTTCCATATCCACACATGGCAAGGAGAGAGAACTCTGGTTTTCTTATTTTCTCGTAGGAGCAATAATCCCATCATGGGGGCCCCACTCTCATAACCTCACCTAAACCTAATGACCTCTCAAAGGCCTCACCTCTTAGCCCTAATCCATCACATTGCGGATTAGGGCTTCAATATATGAACTAGAGGGGAATACAAACATTCAATTCATAGCGTGACCAAACATTTTTGTTTCAACCAAAATCAGAGGACTCCATTGTTATGGGATTATGAAGATAGATGAACTGTTGAATTGGCTCTGCATTGTCCAGTTCGATCATTCTATGCAGTAATTGCCTAACCTATACCACAGAGTGTGGTTTAAAGCAGCTGACTTCTCTATTTGCATAGTTCCTTTCACCTTAGAAGAACTTTCTTATAAATTCTTATAATTTCTTATAAATTATCTCTTTTGATAACTTACAAGGTATCTTCTTCAGTTGGCCCCTTCTGAAAGGTAGGCAACATTACATGATATTAGGAAAAAGACCTTCAGCTTACCTTACCATGACTACTGCTTAGACAGGTAAGGAAAAGTTTTTCAGATAGTCATCAAGTCAGTAGTCCTTTCCCATCCTGATGGTTTTTATTTTCCTTTTCTTTTTCTTTTTTTTTGAGACGGAGTTTTACTCTTGTTGCCTAGGCTGAAGTGCAATGGCGCGATCTCGGCTGACTGCAACCTCTGCTTCCTGAGTTCAAGCGATTCTCTTGCCTCAGCCTCCCAAGTAGCTGGGATTACAGGCATGTGCCACCATGCCTGGCTAATTTTTGTATTTTTGGTAAAGACACACCTGCAATTCTAGCACTTTGGTAGACTGCGGCAGGTGGATCACTTGAGGCATGGAATTTGAGACCAGCCTGGCCAACATGGTGAAACCCTGTCTCTACTAAAAATACAAAAATTAGCTGGGTATGGTGGCACGTGCCTGTAATCCCAGCTACTCTGGAGGTTGAGACACGAGAATCGCTTGAACCCAAGAGGTGAAAGTTGCAGTGAGCTGAGATCATGCCACTGCACTCCAGCCGGGGCAATGGAGCAAGACTCTGCCTCAAAAAAAAAAAAAAATTAGGACACAGAGTGCATTTGTTTACATCTAAAAGTGCTGTATGGCATGTACTTAACTTTTAGTAAATGTGAACTTAAATTTATTCAGACATTTTATTAAAATATTATCATACCCTACAGGAGACGTCCTGTAATATCACATAACTTGGCTTGGAACATCACCCTTAACATGGGGCAGCTTCCTAATGCCCTTTGCTTAAGCACATCTGAAATGTCTGGTCAATGCAAAACTGCCTACCTTTGCGGAAGGTTTTTCTCTGAGCTCTGATTCCATGTTCAATACACTCCCAGCTTGAGCTTCATTTATGTTAAATCAATGCTCTGTGTCACACTTAGCTTGGAGCCCGGGTATAATGGGTCAAGTTTATCACAGAATGTATCTAGGAATAATTTTAAAATCATTGACTGTATAACATACTAACTTTGTCTCCATGGCAATCTCAATTTTGTATCTGTTCCCACAGGTAATTTTGAGGAATTAGAACACTCAGGAGATACAACTGAGGAATCTGAAAGACCAAATGAAGTGACTCCTCCAAGCATATTTGCTGCAGTGACCGCCACAGAAACATTAACTGCAAATATAAATTCTACCGACATTGCTCCGGATGAAAATCAGTTACAGTTTATACTGATGGTATTGATCCCTTTGATTTTATTGGTCCTCTTACTTTTATCTGTGGTATTCCTTGCAACATACTATAAAAGAAAAAGAACTAAACAAGGTAAATATTTGGTGTTTTCCCATTTCCAGAAAATTGCTTCATGTGTTAGTGAAAAATCAATAAAACAAAATATTCTTTGCTTTGATACAGAACCTTCTAGCCAAGGATCTCAGAGTGCTTTACAGACATGTGAGTATTATCCTAAAACCTGCCTGCAGCTGGGGGTGGGATTGGAGAAGGAGTAGAGACGTGTTAAAATTAAGCAACAAGGACTACTTACGATAGTAATAAATAATACGTTTCAATGAAATTTTCCAGAAGTGAATATATGCATATTCCTTTCTTTAAAAAAAGTTTAATGGAATTTTAAAATACAGGCATGCCTTGTTTAGTTGCACTTTGCTTTATTGCACTTTACAGGTATTGCTTTTTTTTTTTTTTAAACAAATTGAAGTGGCAACCATTGCATCGAACCAGTCTATTGGTATCATTTTTTCAACAGCACATGTTTACTTTGTGTCTCTGCATTACATTTTGATTATTCTCACAATATTTCAAATGTTCTCAATATTGCTGTGCCTGTTATGGTGATCCGTGATCAGTGATCTTTGATACTACTGTTGTGATTGTTTTGGGGTGCCTGAAACCATGCTCACGGAAGACAGTGAACTTAATGGATAAACATTGTGTGTATTCTGACTACTTCACGGACAGGCCATTCCCCATCTCTCTCCCTGTCTTCAGGCCTCTCTATTTCCTGATACAGAACAATATTGAAATTAGGCCAATTCATATCCCTACAATGGCATCTAAGTGTTCAAATGAAAGGAAGAGTCACATATCTCTCATTTAAAGTGAAAAGCTAGAAATGATTACGCCTTGTGAGGAAGGCAGGTTGAAAGCTGAGATAGGCTGAAAACCAGGCCTCTTGTGCCAAGCATTTAGCCAAGTTGTAAATGCAAAGAACAAGTTCTTGAAGGAAATTAAAAGCGCTACTCAGTGAACATACAATGATAGAAAAGCAAAGCAGTATTATTGTTGATACAGAGAAAGTTTCAGTGGTCTGAGTAGATCAAACCAGTCACTGCATTCTCTTAAGCCTAAGCCTAATTCAGAGCAAGGCCTTAATTCTCTTTAATTCTACAAAGGCTGAGAGAGGTGAGGAAGCTGCAGAAGAAGAATTGGAAGCTGGCAGAGGGTGGTTCATGAGGTTTAAGGGAAAAAGCCATTTCTATAACATAACAGTGCAAGATGAAGCAGCAAGGACTGATGTAGGAGCTGCAGCAAGTTATCCAGAAGACCTAGTTCAAATCATTGATGAAGGTGGCTACGCTCAACCATAGATTTTCAATGTAGATGAAACAGTCCTCTATTGGAAGAAGATACCATCTGACTGGGCATGGTGGCTCATGCCTGTAATCTCAGCACTGTGGGAGGCTGAGGCAGATCATTTGAGGTCAGGAGTTTGAGACCCGCCTGGCCAACATGGTGAAACCCTGTCTCTACTTAAAAAAAAAATGCCATCTAAGACTTTAATAGCTAGAGAGGAGAAGTCACTGCCTGACTTCAAAGCTTCAAAAGATATGCTGGTTCCCTTGTTAGAAGCTACTGTAGTTGGTGACTTTAAGTTAAATCCGATTCTTATTTACCATTCTGAAAATATGACAGCTCTTAAGAATTATGCTAAATCTGCTCTGCCTGTGCTCTGCAAGTGGAACAACCAAGCCTGGATGTTAGCACATTTGTTTATTGCATGGTTTACTGAATATTTTAAGCCCACCATTAAGATCTATTGCTCAAAATACAAGATTCCACTAAAACTATTACTGCTCATTGACAATGCACCTGGTCACCCAAGAGCCCTGATGGAGATGTACAAGGAGACTAATGTTTTCATGCCTGCTGATACAACATCCATTCTGCAGCCCATGGATTAAGGAGTCATTTTGAATTTCAAGTCTTATTGTTTAAGACATACATTTTGTAAGGCCATAGCTGCCATAGGTGGTGAGTCCTCTGATAAATTTGGGAAGGAATCTTCTGGGAAGAATTCACCATTCTAGATGCCATTAAGAACATTTCCGATTCATAGGAGGAGGTCAAAATATCAGCATCAATAGGATTTTGGAAGAAGTTGATTCCAAGACCCATGGATGACTTTGAAGGGTTCAAGACTTGAGTGGAGGGGTCACTGCAGATGTGGTAGAAATGACAAGAAAACTAGGATAAGAAGTGAAGCCTGAAGATGCCATGGAATTACTGCCATCTCATGATAAAACATTAAGTGGCTGAGAAATTGCTTCTTCTGAATTAACAAATAAAATGGGTTTTTTTTGTTGTTGTTGTTTTTGAGATGGAATCTACTCCTGGTGAAGATGCCATGAACATTGTTGAAATGACAACAGAGGATTTAGAATATTACATAAACATAGTTGGTAGAGCAGCAGCAGGTTTTGTGAGAATCGTCTCCAATCGTTTTACTGCATTTACCGCAATTCTATTGCAGGTAAAATGCTATCAAACATCATCATATGCTACAGAGAAATCTTTGTGGAAGAGAGTCAATCAATGTGACACATTTCACTGTGATCTTACTTTAAGGCATTGCCACAGCCTTTCCAACCATCAGCAGCTGCCACCCTGAGCAGTCAGTAGCCATCAACATCAAGGCAGGACCATCCACCAGAAAAATCATTATAACTCGCGGAAGGCTCAGACCATCATTAGCATTTTTTAGCAATAAAGTATTTTAAATTAAGGTATATACATTCTCTCTGTAGATACAATGTTGTTGCACACTTAGTAGACTACACTGTAGGAAAAACATAACTTTTTATGCATTTGGAAACTAAAAAATTAATGTGACTTGCTTTATTGCAATACTCACTTTATCGCAGTGGTGTGGACCTGAACATGCATATTTCTTGGGGATGCTTTTCTGCTGCTGCCATCTCCAGATGAAGATCCCATATAATTTTGGCCAATAAGCCAGTATAACATTTCCCATCACTGGGGAAAGAGAAAGGCTGATCAAGGAGTGGGTCAGATTAGGGTTAGGGATGGGAAGGTTAGAGGCCCTGGGGTCATCACCACAAGAAGAGCATTCTTTCATCTATATTTCTGTCACAGATTTTATTTTCTCCGCCACCCCACATCCCAATTTGATCCTGAAAAGTCCTGGAGGAAGCATTGTTCTTGTTCCCATTGAAGCTATGCTAACTTTTATAACCAAATTCTTCAACTGTCTAAAGATTAGTAACATCAATCTGAAAACCAATTAGATAGAAATTCCCTCAGTCAGAGACCCACTTTGAGAGTATTCAGTTCTGATTTAAGAAGCATCACGTGCTAGGGGTCAGGGTAGTTCTAGGTCCAAAGCAGACTTGGGTACTTTTGGCTTGTGGTAGTAAAAATTACTCGATTCTATTTTTTTTTTTTTTTTTTTTTGAGATGGAGTCTTGCTCTGTCGCCCAGGCTGGAGTGCAGTGGCGCCATCTCAGCTTACTGCAAGCTCCGCCTCCCAGGTTCACGCCATTCTCCTGCCTCAGCCTCCTGAGTAGCTGGGAGTACAGGCGCTCGCCACCTCGCCTGGCTAATTTTTTTGCATTTTTAGTAGAGACGGGGTTTCACCGTGTTAGCCAGGATGGTCTCGATCTCCTGACCTCATGATCCGCCCACCTCGGCCTCCCAGAGTGCTGGGATTACAGGTGTGAGCCACCGTGCTTGGCTCAGATTTGATTTTTAAGTTGAAGCCTTTATAGTCTTTCCAAAAAGTTACTCAAAGGATAGGAACATCTCTAATACAATACATAGTCATACATGTATACAAAACTCACTTTATGTCCCTCACTCACACTACAGGGCACCTCTGGCTTTGGGGCTATGCCCTCACTGTCCCTGTGCCACAGGAACCTTTCATTGCCAGTAGCTGAGGCAAATGTGAGCTGGGAAAGAAGCCCCAACGAGTATTTCCTTTCATGGCAGAGGCTGACATAATAGATTCCAAGGAAGTAGGAAATACACATGTTTCTCCACTGCTTGAAATTTCAGGACTTCCTAATAACATAGTCATATGGAGGCTTCTTTCTAAGCTTAAGAAAAAAAAAAAAAAAAACAGAGCTTTTTAAATTTTTTAGAATTTAGGGAAAGTCATGATTTCCTTCCACAAACCATGGCTGCTTTTACCTAATGGAGTCAAGGGTTGGGGGGATGTCAGAGGTATCCACTCACATGGTGGGACTCTTAGGCTCCAAATCCAGGAAATGATTTTTCATTGAATTTCATTCGGAAAGTCCCATGGTTCAAAAGCCATTTACAAGTGAGAGCCAGCCTCAACCTCAGACATGGCCCATGTATCCTCCACTGTAACTTGAAGTATTTGCTGTTCCCAGAACATGACTTGACTTTCAGGGTGCCTCCATGCCTGGTTGATACCATTTCTTCCATCTGGAACTTTCTTCTTGTCTGCTTGGCAAACTGCCATCCCATTTTTTAGGGCCCAGGTCTGTTTTTGTTTTGCTTAAGAGACAGGGCCTTGCTCTGTCGCCCAGGCTGGAATGCAGTAGCATGATCCTAGCTCACTGCAGCCTCAAACTCTTGGGCTCAAGCGATCCTCCCACCTCAGCCTACAGAGTAGCTGGTACTACAGGCCTGTACAACCATGCCTGGGTAGTTTTTTATATTTTAAAAAAATGTTTTGTAGAGACAGCATCTTGCAATGTTGCTCGGGCAAGCCTCAAACTCCTAGGCTCAAGTGATCCTCCCACCTCAGCCTCCCAAAGCACTGGGATTACAGGTGTGAGCCACCACACCCCATTACTAGGGTCCAGTTTTTAGGAAGCCTTGAATAATCCTCCCTAGGCAAAATTAATTACCACCTCTTCTGTGCTCTCAGAATACTTTGTTCACACTCTTTGTTCACAGTATTCACATTGTCATAAGTTGGTGACTAGCTTCCCTCTTTCCTTGCTTGCTTCCTTCCTTCCTTCCTTCCTTCCTTCCTTCCTTCCTACCTTCCTTCCTTCCTTCCTTCTTTCCTTTTTTCTTTTCTTATCTTTCTTCTTTTCTTTCTGGGTTATGTTGTCGTTAAGGCCCAAGAGAACCAAGAACTGGTCTTATTTGTGTTGTGTGACAGTGTGGCATTGAGGTTGACAGTCCAGACTCAAACCACATACACTGCTTGGTTGGCTTGCACTTCCTGGCACTGTGACTCTCTGATTAAGTTTCTTCATCTGTAAAATGCACAAATTCAATACCTACCTCATAGAGTTGTGAGAATTAAATGGTTTATATAGGCAAATCACTTAGAAAAAGTCAGAACCTGGCATAAGTGCTAAGTGCTAGCTTATTATCATCCCTTTACCTAACTCAATGCCTAGCCCAACACACACTAGCTGTTTGTTTGTTTGTTGAATAAGTGACTTAATTAAAGACTGTTAGAATGTTTTTTAAAGAACATCTACTCTCAGAGGGAAAGCCAAATTTGTACATTATCCTTACTATGAATTGGTACATTGTTTTTACCTTAAATATGCCTAACTTTAAAAAATACAACAGAGAAAACTTAGAATTTCAAAACAATTGGCTTATCACGAAAGTTTTTGATAGTTTTATTTGAATTTTTTTCTCTTATCAGCCAATGCTTTAATACAGACATGATCACTAGCTGCTTAACAGAGGGATATCATTTCAGAAAAACTGAATGCTCAAAGTTCATAAAAGCAGAATGTTTACTTTAGCAAAATGTGATTTTTTTCAGGTAAAATACAATTATCATGGAAGGTCAGAGCAGCATGTTGCTTGGAAAGCTCCCACAGAAATGCTTTACAGGAGGGCATGGATACCTGCACACTACGTCCCCTGGGAAAGTCAGAAGCAGACATACTGTTTCTTACCCCACATGGATAGAGCCTGGTCTGTTATACTATACCAGGAAATAAGTCTTTATTATCGACACTGGGAGAGGACTTGGCCAAAACTTTTAGAACACTTCATCTGATTGGAAATTACTTTTTCCTTTGGGCTTGTCCATTTCATGTCCAGGGAAAGGGAAACATGGTGTAGTAATGTGATGTTCTGCTATCATTCTTCCTAGACCTCCCGGCATTAAATCTGCAGTGTCTTGATGTGCGAGGTCTCTCTGAAAGAGCTGCAGGGGAAACAGCTGGCAATAAACTACCACTTTAAACAGGCTGTGGCTACATGATGCCTGGCTTGCTCAGTAAATCTTCTGGAAAGAGACTCTTTCTCTTGCTCACTGCTCAGCATGGAAACAAGATAAGGAAGACAGAGGCTCCTGTAGCTCCTGCCCTCCCCTAGCCTCCACCAGACAACCCCACTATCAAATGCACAAAGGAGAGGATCTGAGAGGAGGGTACTGTCAGGCTAAGTGGGGGTCACGTAGGAACTGAAGGAGGAGGACAAAGTGGGTCGGAGGAGATGAAATGGCAGGGTTGTTGGAGGGAAAATGGAAAGGGGGGTTGAGATGGAGCTTTGTAAGAGCTGCATTTGCCTCCTGGTTGCAAAGGGAATAGGTGGCTATTCGCAAATAGATGCAGGCCGGTGGAGTGGAGCGGGCAGAGCCTGATTGCTGAGGACAAGTAATTGGTCTCCCTCCTGGTTTAATGCTCTGCTCTTTGTGTGCCCTCCCAGATGTTTTTCTGTTGCCATGGTGGCTGGAACAGAGGTAATAGCCATGGAGCAGGGAAGATGAGGCCACAGAAAGCTTTTTGCTCTGTTTTAATACTGATTACAGGAGCTTCACATTTGGTGCATCTGGAGCACTTTTGTAATGGCTTTTAAAAGTTTTCCTTCATCTGCATGCAGGCTAGCTTTTGCTCACCCTGAAGCCTGTGGGGAACCCAGATAATAAAGATAAATCCATGCCCACAGCGGTGGGGCCATGCAGCCACTTGCTCTCTGGGAAATTACTCAGGGGTTATTCAGCAGGAAAAAAGGGAGAGGGAGGAGGAGGGGGTGACAAAACAGGAGGATCTTTATGGGTCACCTGTAGGGATGTTCAATTGTGTAGGAGCTTTATTTATAGTAAAATTCCTTAAGGAAATGGCCTGTATATTTTAGATAGAAAATGTGTGTTTATGATGTGTGTGTGTGTGTGTATTCTCCTTTTCCCATCTAAGTTTCTGAGGAGTCAGGCATCTGCAGGAAGCTTTAGATTCCTACCAGAGGGCAAGAGGACGTAGCCTGCAGCTCTTGGAAGGCAAGCAGTGATGGCATGAAACTTACATCTGTGCCCAGCTTTCCTGGATTAGCAATGCCATTCAAGCTTGCCAACGCACAGGAAATTACAGCAGCTCACTGCCGCCAGGAACTCAGTTCCAGGTGTCTGCTGGTTGTGTTCCTTCACTGGGGACCTCCATTTCTCCAGGACAGACAATAGGAGGCCTCTGATTGCCAAGGATCAGAAACCTCTGACTATTGGGTGGACCCTACAAAATAATTTGCTTTTCAATCATTTCCACATCATAAATCGTGCAGCAGGCCTATGTTATCCACTCAACATCATTGCCTCATTTCTCTGGATGTGTTGGTTCTCCTGCCAAATGAAACAGGGCTTCAGCTGGGACATCAGGCTCCAATTCTCACCACTTGTTCATTTGGAGTCTGATGTGCGTTAGAGGCATTTTGTAAACAGTTACCTGACTCTCACCTCAACCAACGGGAACTAAAAACAGGCTTCTTGGAAGTTTCACTATGCTAAGTCCAAAATATTGGACATGAGTTGAACCCCAGTGCTGGACAATTGAGGTTAACACCTAATCATTTATTCCACTGATATTGACTAGGCATTTACCAGGTACTGTGCTAGCTGGCTCAGAACTGAGGGAATACCACAATGTGTAAGACAGACACGATCACTGCCCCTTTGTACTTATGGTCCAGTGAGAGAGACAGACAGAAAAAAAAAAAAACAAAAAAAACAAGTGAACAAAGAAAAAATGGGGCCAAAAATAAGAAAGAAGCAAACAAGGTGCTGAGCTGGGGAGCAACAGGAAAGACGGGCCCTGCTTTATATAGAGGAGGTGGGAAAGGCCTCCCTGAGGAAAGAGTATTTAAGCTGGAACCCTGAGGATGTGAGGGATCCGGCCATGCAAAGAGCAGGGGTAAAAGGAAAATTCCAAGGGGAGCCCTTGATGGAAGAGTCCACATCCTCTGCCAGGAGTGAGGCACAGTGCCACAGTGCTCAGCATGGTGTATCACAGGAAATGAAGCAGCAACCTTTAGATCTGGGACATTTTACTGAAGGAGGCCAAGGAGCAAGCCCTCTTGTTTCACCCTCCCTTGCCTTTCCTTACCACTGTTTTCCTCTTCTTGTGGATGTCAAACATAAAAACAGATGAACATCTGATCTGAAGTGAGTGTTCTCAGCTGACCATCCACATCTAAAAGAAAGCAGATTTCACAGGGATTAGGACCTCGTTTCAATATGGCAATCCACACTTGTTTAACTCTAAGTTAAGGATCGCTCTTTTAAAAACATTATTTAATGTCATTTTGCTCTCTTTGTAAAGCAGACTTCAGCTGTTGTTGAGATTAAAAGTTGTTACGGAAGAACAAAGCTAACATGACCTTTATGTTCATTTCCTTTTAGATGAACTGGGAAATGAAAACGTGAAAGTGTAAGTTTTCCCTGCTGCTTCTGATCCACCTGGGGTGTGAACAGCAACAGTTAGGGCAGACAGCTGCCTTTTCAGGTGTTTTTGTTCTGACACCTTGCGGAGCTCTCCTGCTTCCCAGGCTGGGCTGGAGATCCCTGGTAGCCTAAGGGAGGATGTGCTGGCATCCCCAAACCCTGTCCAGCGTGTGAATGTGATCTGGGCAAGGACAGTGTGTCATCTGCTTTATTTCGTTGTCCTACGTTCAGGAAAAAATTCTGACTGCTGCCAATTTCAAGTGCATAGCAGTTAAATATTCCATCCCTAGTTGTATTTCAAGGATGTCGTTTCATTTACTCTGATTAGAAATTTTATCACCTGCAAAGATACTTGAGCTGGTATTTAGCAGGGGAGCCCTGGTCGAAGCAGAAGTTTGCACAGCAAGAACCCCCCGGGATGGGAGAGAGAGAGGAGGAAGAAGGGAAGAGTGGGAGGAGCAGGAGGAAGGGAGAGGAGGGAGGGAAGGAGGGGTGGGAGAGAGAAAAACAAGCCTCCACTCAGAAGCCTGTTCTGGGGTGATGCCATCCCCTCCCCACCTTCCAAGCAGCCTCCTGGTTTAGAAACTGTGGCTTCCTCTACACAGTGTACTGCCTACGCTGCTTTCAGAGCTGGTGGTCCCTCCTTCCCCAGCCCCATCTCCACTAACCATGGGCTCTGTCCCTTGACTGTGCACTTTGAGCTTCTGCAAGTGAGAGCGGGGAATTTCTGAAAGCAACTGCTCCATTTCTCCAGGAGAGAAAGGCCTGGGAATTGAAGGGACAGGTGATAACTATAGCCTGTTGACAGTGGCCTCTTGACCTGGGGCACTGATCAAAAAACCCCAAGGAAGAGGAAGTGAAATTAAGCAAGGCTAAAATACTTAATGTGGCAACTCCCCGGAAGGGCCTCACCCTGGGAGCCTTGCAGACTTGACTTTGTACCTTCAGGGGAGCAGTCAGTCTCCTGGGTTCCCTTTTTAGTCCACTTGCTGGGCCTGTGGGCACCCCACTTTTGGACCTGTGATAAATGTATGTTTGTATGGTAGCCTTTCTTCCTATTAAAGTTTGATAGTTTGGACAAGGGCAAGCCCTCAGGCTTCCCCAGAGCATAAGGCACTGAATCAAGTTCATCTTCCTCAGGATCAGCACTCTAGTCTCTTTCCAAATGAAATCAGACACATTTCACATTTCTTTCCAACAAGCCTTTTGCTCTCTATTTCTAGCCCTATTTTTGAGGAAGATACACCCTCTGTTATGGAAATTGAAATGGAAGAGCTTGATAAATGGATGAACAGCATGAATAGAAATGGTATGTGGTAACCTAAAGTTTTTTTTTTTTTTTTCTTTCCTCTTTAGTAACAGAAGGCTGCAACAGCTTTATAAATATCTCAATAAATCCTGGAGTGAGACAGAGCCCAAACCCACATTAGATCTGGTACATGCAGATAATAAACTTGGTCTGACAATATTTAAATATTCAGCTTAATTGTTGCCACTTGTTTTTATTTCTGTACAAGTTGTTGAAATGGTCTTTTTGAAGCAGAAAATGGTATTTTACTCAAGAAAGGAAATCTCTGAGGCCAAATGATCTGGAAAAAGTTAGCATCTGGCATTAACTTATACATTACAGAATTTAGAGATCTATAAGTATAAACTGACTATGGATATAAAACTTTATCAAATGTAGTAGCCATAGATCTGTGCTGTTCAACGTAATAGACAATCACCAAATGTGGCTATTTAAATTTAAATTAATTAAGACTAAAGTTAAAAATATTGAGTGTTTAGTAGCCAATGGCTACTTAAGTGGACAGTGTAATGTAGAATATTTCTATCACTTTAGAATGCTCTATTGGACATTGCTCATGTAGATGGTGATACACATAACCCATATAACAATTTACAATTGATATCTGGCAGTAATGGAAGTATATGTTCCTTACTTTTTAGTAAATCAATAATGGGACTTTAAAATGATGACAGCTGCTTTTTCTTTTTTAAATTCCCTTTAAAAATTAATTATTTTTACTACTTAGATTAAATTAATAAAAACGCAGCATTATCATATCATTTGTATTTTTTACCATTTATCTTAAAAAAAATACCCTAGAGTCTGTCAAATTCAACACTCTATAGTAGAGTTGGAAAATTCAGAGACTGGTTATGAGAATTATTACTACCAGGCCAGGCACGGTGGCTCACGTCTATAACCCCAGCACTTTTGAAGGCCAAGGCAGGTGGATCACCTGAGATCAGGAGTTCGAAACCAGCCTGGCAAACATGATGAAACTCCATCTCTACTGAAAATACAAAATTAGTTGGGTGTGGTGGCACATGTCTGTACTCCCAGCTACTAGGGAGGCTGAGGCAGGAGAATAGCTTGAACCCAGGAGGCAGAGTTTGCAGTGAGCTGAGATCGCACCACTGCACTCCAGCCTGGGCGACAGACCAAGACTCCATCTCAAACAAACAAACAAAGAATTATTACTACCAGAGGCTTATCAAGATGTGATTTCAAAAAAGAGCCACTCAGCTAACCTGTACAGTTTCTAACAGGAAAGAAGGACTCTGTAAAGCCATTCTATTTGAGGATGGGGCAGGTCATTGAGATAGTACTTCGGGAATCTCATTTTGTTGTTTTCAGTTGCTAAAAGTAATATGCATACATAGTAGAATTTTTAAAATGCAGAAAAAAAAGTAGAAGAAAAAAATTCACTACAGAAAGGCAATCTCTTCTTATTATGTTGCTGTATTACGTTTTGTGCCAGAGATTTTGTGAAATATAAAATCATGATTCTGTCATACTCACTAAAACCAGAAAACTGGAAAAGGCATTTCTATTCGACAACTAAAGCTGAGTTATTTTGACATATAGGTGACAGAATCAAAGAATTTTTTTGCCCTTAAAAATAACGAGTGGTGTATAGAAAGGAACTCATGACCATAGGAAGATTGGCTGTTTTCCCACTTTACCCAATTCTTGTCTACCATGCAATCTGATGGAAATCATTCTGCAGACACATTGGAACCTCAGGCGAAGCCATCTTATGCCAGTGTCTATCCTGAGACGTGCAGATTCTAGCTTTTGGAGCACTGGGGTGCTACAGGGACAGAATAACCAAGCAGTGATGAATTGTGTCCTTTCCAGGGTCAGAGGCATGTTGAAGTTTTGTATCTGTGTTATTAGCGCTTTTTCCATTTCAAGAACCTTGACATCATTAATCTTTTCACCACTGTCACTCCTTGGTGAGGCCATTTTTGCGCAAGTAACCACAGAGATCAGAGAACTATGGTATTCAACTGTATCAGGATTGTGGATAGAAGATACAATTTCAGTAACTAACAATGAGTTTGCTTTTATTCTGTCCTAGCCGACTATGAATGTTTACCTACCTTGAAGGAAGAGAAGGAATCAAATCACAACCCAAGGTACTTCTCATTTCTGCCACAGATTATATGTATATAGCAGGGAGGGGATTGGCAACCAGGCTTCTCCGTGCCTATAAATTGTATGAGACCATTTACATGGGTGGATATGTGCATAGTGTGGAGAAGAGGAAGTATGTTACAGAAAATAGAAGGCTATAAAGTAAATATCCTGGGGCTCTTTATCTTTAGAAATAAATTAGTATTGACATTTTCTTGCCCTTCTAAGGAGACACTGTTGCCTCAGCTTCTGTTTTAGTCATAAAACTTTCCAATTATGACAAACTGTAGGTTTGTTTACCTTGGATAAATAGATGTTTGGTAAGGAAAACAGATGGAGGCGACAGTCTTAAAGTGGGTAACTGTAAACTAGAGTGAGAAAATAAATGGGAATTTAAAAAAAATGTTCCATTATACCACTAGGTGGCTCTGCTTGATAGAAAATTTTAGTGCTTTGGGGTTTGGGTCTAGTTTAGCATTCCACAATTTCATTTAAATTATATTATCTTTTGTGAGGATAGAAATGACCACATTGTGGGTGTTTTGATTAGAGAATTGTTTTGTCAGGACATGGGAAGTGTTCTAAGGAAAAAGGACTGATGGTTCAGCAGGTTGGGGACTTGCTCTGCAGAGCTCTGCTGTGACCTTGGAGGTACTGAGTGGTTGGCAGCAATCACTCATGGATACCCAGAGAGGAGAGGACTTGAGCCTATGCCTGAGATATCACACTTCTGTTGGAATAAATGGAATAAACCTTCAGGCAGGATAAATGCTCTCCCTCTGTGTTCGCCAGAAGTCTGGTGCCAGTCATCTTAAATGCTTCCAGACTGCAGTCACTTGTCACTGGGCAATCCCTGAAGCCTGAGCATCACAAGGGAATACTGATTATTAGGCAGTGGTTGGGGCAGTCAGATGTTTATCTTTGGACCCTTTTTCTTCATCTCCCCCTAAACCTTACTTAAGAATTCACCATCCCAAATCTCTCCTCACATCACACCACACAGTCTTACTCAGACAAACCTCAGCTCTGATGCCAAAGTCTATACCTATTGTAGATTTAGGTCAATATCACCCCCCTAGGCATTTTCATGTTAAGATTCTTTGCCAGTTCAGAAAGGATTCTATCCTATTTAAAAGAGATTCCAGGTCACGCTTGGTGATGCTTGCCTGTAGTCCTAGTTACTTGAGAGGCTGAGGTGAGAGGATTGCTTGAGCCCAGGATTTCAGGATTGCAGTGAGCTATGATTGTACCACTGCATTCCAGCCTGGGCAACAAGCGAGAGCAAGACCCTGTCTCTGAGAGAGAAAGAGAGAGAGAGAGAGAGAGAGAGAGAGAAACAAGCAGGTGGAGAAAACAAATGCCAGGGGGAATATTACAAAGGGATATTTTCCCCATGTTTTGACATTACCTGGAAATCTGTAACTATATATGTCTGGTATAGGGCTCAGATCACTACTAAACCTCCATAAATATCTTAAATATCTTATTACTCTATCCCTAATGAGCACCTTCAATGATGCTACAAACCACCCTCAGTGATTTTTACATACCTGCCTTTTGCTCTTTGAAATTGTTGGCAATATGGAAGAAGCTTAACATTACAGAATTGTATGGCAGTGAAAGCTCCTTAAAAATCAGATTTTTGGCCGGGCATGGTGGCTTATGCCTGTAATTCCAGCACTTTGGGAGGCTGAGGCAGGCAGATCACCTGAGGTCAGGAGTTTGAGATCAGCCTGGCCAACATGGTGAAACTCTGTCTCTACTGAAAATACAAAAATTAGCCAGGCAAAGTGGCGGGTGCCTGTAATCCCAGCTACTTGGGAGGCCGAGGCAGGAGAATCTCTTCAACCCAGGAGGCGGAGGTTGCGGTGAGCGCTGATCACACCATTGCACTACAGCCTGGGCAACAAGAGCGAAATTCTGTTTCAAAAAAAAAATCAGATTTTTGAAATAATGAGAAAATGAGCTAGAGCCTTAACATAGTTAAATTATTGTTTTAAAAGGGAATGTCTACATTTCTCTGTGGGTCCAGAGCTGTCTGACATTCACAGGATGGCTGTCAGGCCTTCACTTTATGCCCTCTCAGTGATGCCAGCACTAGCATTTGAGAACCAAGAATGGCAAGTCCCAGATCTTTGTAAAGCCAGGCACTTTCTGATTACTTCAAAGGTTATTATGATATTGCAAAGTCAATTTTTTATTCACTAAAAAGTCTAAGAAAAGTACATTGGATTTAGAACAAAATCCAGCACAAAGTAAGTTCTCAATAAGCACTGGTTATTGCTACTATAATTATTAGGAAATTAAAACTGATGTACAGAAACTCACTGCCTTTATACTAAGACCCAGCTCACTAGATTAAAAAACAAACAAACAAACAAAATACCTCACTTCCTTTATCCTAAGCCTGTATCCTAAGACCCAGACACATCAATACTGGTGGGCAAAGCATTATTTTTGTCCCTGTGTTCCCTGTGGTTTCTTTCTGGACCTCCCAATCCTGGGAAATCAGGAATTTGTTTGATCTACTATGAGATTTTCTGTTCTCCTTCATTACTGGCATAGGCCCATTAATGTTGGTGATTTAGGAATAGTCCACTTATCACTCTGGAGTTTTTTGGTGTTTTGTTGTTTTGTGTTGAGACAGAGTCTCGTTCTGTTGTCTAGGCTGGAGTGCAGTGGTGTGATCATGGCTCACTGCAGCCTCAACCACCTGGGCCTAAGTGATTCTTCCAACTTAGCCTCCCGAGTAGTTGGGACCACAGGTTTGTCCACCATGCCTGGCTAATTTTATTTTACTTTATTGTGGTGACAGGGTCTCCCTATGTTGCCCAGGCTGGTTTCACACTTTGGGGCTCAAGGAATCCTTCTGCTGCCTTGGCCTCCCAAAGTGTTGGGCTGACAGGAGTAAGCCACCATGCCTGGCCCATTCTGAAGTTTTTAAAAGGGTATTAGCACCTTATAATTTGGATAATCTTTCTTTTCTGTCATAATTTTAGTTACATTTCTTTTTCTTATGCTAATGTTTTAACTACATTGATAATCCATAAAATGTTTACCTTGAGTATCTACCCTGGGACAAAAATAAGATTTCTTTTGTCTCTAAAAGCTTGTGAATTGTTATAGATACAGGTGGAAAGTGCATTAGTGGGTCATAAGACTTAGAACCAGAAGACTCATTTTCAGACCTAATTTGAATGCTTGTTTGTTCTTTAGACGAAAACAAGTCACTTTAGCTCTCTGAGTTTTAATTTCTTCATCTTGAAAAATGGAAATAAGAACATCTGTCCTTCTAGTTTCACAGGATGATATAAGAGAATGAAACCACCTAACTAGGTTTTATTTTTATTTTATTTATTTATTTATTTATTTATTTTTTTGAGATGGAGTTTTGCTCTTGTTGCCCATGCTAGAGTGCAATGGTGCAATCTTGGCTTACTGTCAGCCTCCGCCTCCCGGGTTCAAGCAATTCTGCTGCCTCAGCCTCCCAAGTAGCTGGGATTACAGGTGCCCACCACCGCGCCCGGCTAATTTTGTATTTTTAATAGAGACGGGGTTTTACCACATTGGTCAGGCTGACCTCAAACTTCTGACCTCAGGTGATCCATCCACCTCGGCCTCCCAAAGTGCTGGGATTACAGGCATGAGACACTGTGCCCAGCAGTATCTAAGTTTTAAAGCACTATGCAAGTGAAACTAATTATTTTTATGCAGTGGCAATAGTTCTTCCCCTCCCACATTGGTATTTTAAAAGATTATTTCTAGGGCAGTTTTAGGTTCACAGCAAAACTGAGCAGAAAGTACAGAGTTCCCATGTACCCTCTGCCCTCACACATGCACAGCCTCTCCCATTATCAATGTCCCCCATCAGAGTGCTACATTTGTTGCAATCAATCAACCTCCATTGACACACCATTATCACCCAAAGTTTTCCACTGGCTTTTACCTTGTGCATGATTCTTCCTCTGTCATCGAAGTAGTATACAGGTGAATTTAATGCTTCAGAAAGTATGCAACAGTCATTAAAAATTGAATTTAGTGGAAAACACACTTCTTTCTCCTGATAAACAAAGACTTCTGGAATTCATTTACAGGGTTCCATTTTCCTTGATGCTAGAAAGACATCCCTGACAAAGAACCTCTGTTATCTATTAAGTCCATAGAACCTAAATCCGCCATGCTTCTGGGAAAAGGGAGTTAATCTGATAACCACCCTACACTGAATATACCACATTGTGTGCAAAGACTTCAACCTTGTCTTGTTAGGGTCCATAGTCTCAGGGCTTTCAGAATTTTATCCACGTCTGATTGGCCACTCCTTGTTCATTACTTTCCTCCGTCCTCATTGAATGGATATTCTTCCTGAGCTGTGGAATCCAAAAGACAGCACAGGATTTTAATAAGGACCAGAGATGTACAAAATACTATGGGAAGTTGACACTATGGTTTTCATGTTTTAAAAAAATCAATAGGAAAAGCAACAAAGGAATCATGGGGGAGGGGAGTGTTTCATATTCTTATTTTCCATCTTAGCGTCTTTTCCGTGATTTATACCTGCTATGTGCCTGGCGCTGCACGGGGGCATAGTGTCAGTGGGAGGAGGGCGCTAGGAGGGGTCTGCCCTCAAGTTGAAGAGAATTTCATCCCTGATCTCGTTAAGCATTGCCAACACATGGTAATGACAGAAAACAGATCCTCTTGGTTGGTTTTATTATTGTTTTAACTTCCGTGTAGAAAACACACTCCCTTATTGCCTAACCCCACCCTCACAACACCCTCCCAAATGCTACTAGATAGTGGTGCAAACAAGAAAAAGTCCCTTTTATCATGACTCTTCCAATCTAGCCAGCCTCTTCCTTCTTCTGGAGGCATTTGTAGTTAGACGGTTTCCTGAAAGCTTGCTGTTTCTGTCTCTACAACCTCAGATGAATAACCACAGACAAGGAATCGCAAGTATCAGCCAAATGCCTGTCTTCTTTCCTCTTATATCTCTTGACCACAG